AAATTTAATGGAACCAAGACTAGCAAATGAATTTTGACAGGTTTCTTCCATGGAAGCTACTATACAGCCTTAGGAGAAAAAAAGAAAAAGAGTAGCATTATATTTTGTCTCTCTACTCCCAAGACAAGCAGTCCCCTTTCTTCAAACCCAGTGGCTTAAAATTCAGCGTAGTACAGAGAGAGAAAAAGGGGCTGCGGAGGCTTCTAGCACCTTCATATCCTTTACCTAAAAAGTGCTGGTTAAGTCAATTTATGGCCTGAGATAAAGCAGCACATTTTCCCATAGCCAATAAGACCATGAATTTAAGTCCAAAAGAGACTGGTGCAAGCCTGAAGCTCAAGGCCACTTATGCCCCCTGCCCCCCACTTTTTGGTATGGTCCCCAGGGCCCAAGTTCCCTTGATTGGGAATTTGGAATATGTCTGGGGAATTATCAAATTCATGGGACTAATCATATTAACTGTATCCAACCAAAGCTAGTTCATAATAGCTCTGAATCTTAGCACTTGGCTCCATCTTTTGGAGTGTGGCTTCCTGGTGTAAGGGCCAATGTAGCCCCTGGCCTCACAATGTTGTGTATCTCTGCCATGGGGAACTCTAAGGTGATTAGTTGAACAATCATATTTTGAACTGGGAAAATGACCATCCAGGGGAATGACAGTGGGGACAGCTACAGGTAAGTACCATTGACAGTCAGAGACACTTCCCGCTCTCCTGCACCCACACGTGGAACCACAGCCCGGCACACATATTTCCCAGCATCCTCTTGCCGCACGTTTTTTAATGTTAATGTGTTCTCGTTGCTCAGGACCTGAAAAAGAAGACAGTTTGTTCCAGGGGACAGATTTGAAACCAAGAAGACAAGAATGCCAACCCAACTTTCAAGAATGAAGCAGTCCTATACTAGCTGGATTCAGACACTGTGCTAAATCATAGTTTGTTTTAAATATAATGTATTAGGGACACATCATCCTAAGCCAGGAACTATGGTTTACAAATCACAGTGCTTGGGCTCATGGGCATTAATTCATATCCTGGCATGGCTCAACATGTAAGCAAATGAACCACATTATGTCTTAGCCAAGCATGGGAACCAACCACCAAGCCATCAGTCCAGCTAGTTCAGTAATGTCTGTGCTGACAGGGGCACCTGAATCTGAAATTTTGGCATGGAAAGGTAGTCCTCTGTTTTGAGTTATCTTCCCATCTCAATTTGCCATCTGTTGCCTAGCAAGTCTTCTCCTGGCTTGGCCTCCACTGTACCATCTAGACAGGGAGATACGGCCTTCACCTCCTATAAGGGCTTTCAGCTCCATTCTAGTTTGTCTCATCTGTTTCTACACCTTTCCAGTTTCTCTAACCATTGAGACAGCTGCATCCAAGCGATATCCTCTATTATCAGAATCACAATGCTGATTGCAAGCGTGATTCTGGCAGAAAGCTTTTTACTGGGTAAGTATTTAATGGCTTGGAATAACCAAGGCTCTGTTCATAATAAAATATTTTAGTGTTGAGTGCCCTTATTCAGTATTCCAGTGAGCTGTGATTTCCCCTTCTGTCCCTCCTTCATGCAGGAGACATTTAGCTTTCTGCAACCCCTGGAATGTCCTGTTCTTATTAGGACTTCTTCAAATCGTGGATTGTCCAAACATGATAATGCCTCCTTCTTCTTTCCCTGAGAAATTGGATAGATTGTAAGTAATGAAACTAAACACTCAACAGCAAATAAAAGTCTAAAAATTTTGGAGTGTTATCATCATCAATGAGAGCACAGCCAGCTTGGGAAAGTGAAATGAACAGTTTGTAGGGAAGAAGGAAGCATCTTTGAATCTGCAACTTTTAACACAGATTGTACTCCCCACCATTTTTAGATGGAGGTGGGATGGTCAAATTCCTATATCTGTTGTTTTGATGAACATTTCATTCTCAAGGTTTAGCTAATGTCTAAAGACCCTCCAGTATTTCTGCTTTCACATTATATTTCCAGGCAGAGGTATTACTACTTTTGAGGTCACAGCCACACGATTAGAAAGGTATCATGAAAATCAGCCCTGTGTCACATAGACCTGCTCCAGTTCCAGCTTCCTTGACCCTTCTGGCATCTACACTGCTAGGCATGCTGTCCTATAACCCACACTGGTGCAATCAACAATTTTATTAAAACTTCCTAAATGCTGAAGCAGGGAATTTTTGGTGCAGCCCAGTCAGCAAAATCTGAACTCCTGTGATATTTGGAAATATGATGAGTCTAAAACAAATACGGCCTTTAAGAGTCAACTTCTTCTAATTGCTTATGGAAGTTGCTGAGGCTCAGTGGCTAATTTTCTACCTATACAATGGGAGCTGTCAGGATCTACCTGCAGCTGAAAAAGACAGATATTAAGTTCTTATGCTGGGATCTGCATACCGGGTGATGGTCTCCCTTCACCTTTCTGCAACAGCAAGGCTGGAACATCTGCTCTCTTTCTCCTGTGGAAATTTGGATGGCACCCCTTTGGGCCTGGTTCCTTTTGCCTTTCTGGCACGTGTTTGCTCTGTAAATACAATCCAGCATGTTTCCTATTTGGCACTGCTGAGTGTCTGATCACACAGCCAATTCTGCTGCACAGATGGGGAGTTTACACTGATATTTAGCAAAACACTTAAATGCCCTTAGCAATAGCAAAAGAGATTGCAAAGGCATCTTATATCAAAACCAACGAGACTGGGAAAGTATTACAACCTAAAGCATGTTTTTGCTTCATGTTTTAGACACTCAGACTGAAACTCACATAACGCAATCTGTTCATGAATGCAAATAGGCCTAGGGCCAGCCGTGGTAGCAGCAACAATGCAAGGGGAAGGATGACAGGCCTCATTCCACCATTCCGTAGGTGCTGACCTAGATGGGTAGGGGATGGCAGGTGTCCTCCTGAGGAACAGCCTGGGAGATTGTAAGATCTGCCTGAAGAACTGAAGAACAGCTGAGGCTGTTCGTTTGTTTGTTATATGGATTTATAGAACCAAGTTGCTTCCCTGGGCCATATGACAGGGCTGGCCACAGGTACATACTTACAATCATAGCTGTTTTGTCTCTCTAGTTCCTTACTGTGTGACTCTTCAGGTGTTGCAATGGCCTCTCTCATTACTTCCTCCCTGATCTTTCTAACTGAAAATGGGATCCAAGAAACTCTCTTCCTTTGAACTCTACTTCCCCAGCTTTTCCAGTGGTAAGCTGAGAACAACATGGCTGGATCCACAGGCTTTAAATGGAAGGTGGTTATGAGAAGTAATGGGGGAGGGCATGGAAGGTCAATCCAAAATGTTTTGCAGTCTGAGGCAAGAACCACAAGGCACCATCTCCTCCTGTTCCCTTCACAAAAGCCAACTGGGCAGGCATTGGCATAGTTCTTGGAGGCAGGAGGTCAGCCTAGGGCTGCAAGGCAAATGGTGAACTGACCTCCCCCCCCCCCCCCCCC